TATTGCTTTCTTCATGACTTATACATATTCCTCTGACTATGAGATCATGCAACTCCCCAATACCGGAGGAACACTTTATGTGCTATCAAATGTCACAACGTAACTGGGTGATTGTAAAGATGCTCTATAGGTGTCTCCGATGGTGTTTGTTGAGTTGGCATAGATTGAGATTAGGATTTGTCGCTCCGAGTATTGGAGAGGTATCTCTGGGCCCTCTCGGTAATGCATATCACTATGAGCCTTGCAAGCAATGTGACTAATGAGTTAGTTACAGGATGATGCATTACGGAACGAGTAAAGAGACTTGCTGGTAATGAGATTGAACTAGGTATGATGATACCGATGATGGAATATCGGGCAAGTAACATACCGATGACAAAGGAAATGACGTATGTTCTTATGCGGTTTGACCGATAAAGATCTTCGTAGAATATGTAGGAGCCAATATGAGCATCCTGGTTCTACTATTGGTTATTGACCGTAGATGTGTCTCGGTCATGTGTACATAGTTCTCGAACCCGTAGGGTCCGCATGCTTAACGTTCGATGACGATTTGTATTATGAGTTATGTGATTTGATGACCAAAATTTGTTCAGAGTCCCGGATGAGTTCACGGACATAACGAGGAGTCTTGAAATGGTCGAGAGGTAAAGATTCATATATTGGAAGGTTATATTCGGACATTGAAATGGTTCCGAGTGATCCGAGAATTTTTCCGAAGTACCGAGGGGTTACCGAAACCCCTGGGGAAGTTAATGGGCCTTAGTGGGCTTTAGTGCAGAGAGGGAAGAAGGGCCATGAGGTGGCACGCGCCTCCCCCTGCCCAAACCAAATTGGACAAGGGGTGGGGGTGCGGCCCCCTCCTTCCTTCTCCTTCTCCCCTCCTTCCTTTCCCTCCAGTGGAAGAAAGGAAAGGGGGGGAATCCTAGTTGGACTAGGAGTCCAAGTAGGACTCCCCCCTGGCGCGCCTTCTCATTGGCCGGCCTCCTCCTCTCCCTCCTTTATATACGTGAGCAGAGAGGCACCCCAAGGCACAACAAACAATCTCTTAGCCGTGTGCGGTGCTCCCCTCCACAGTTTAACACCTCGGTCATATCATCGTAGTGCTTAGGCGAAGCCCTGCGCCGGTAACTTCATAAACACCGTCGCCACGCCGTCGTGTTGACGGAACTCTCCCTCGTCCTCAACTAGATCAAGAGCTCGAGGGAGGACGTCATCGTGCTGAATGTGTGCTGAACACGGAGGTGCCGTATGTTCGGTATTTGGATCGGTTGGATAGTGAAGACGTTCGACTACATCAATCGTGTTACTAAACGCTTGCGCTTTCGGTCTACGAGGGTACGTGGACACACTCTCCCGTCACGTTGCTATGCATCTCCTAGATAGATCTTGCGTGATCGTAGGAAATTTTTTAAAATACTGCATTCCCCAACAGTTTCGGCCCCAAGACGCACATAAATTCAAATTTGTCTTTTCTCGCTGCCAAAAAAATGCCACAAGTTCGGCGATCAACGGCGATCTGCCACAAAGTTCGAGGATCACCATACCACAGTTCGGCGATCAAACATAAACGATAGTTCGGCGCTCAAAAGGAATGACGCGTAGACAAAGGAATGCATCAAACGACTGGCTCCTCCAGCATGGGACTGGCAGGCGTCCGCGTCGGCGTGGCTTCTATGCTCGGGCTGCTCAACATCGGCGTGGCTTCTGTGCTCGGGCTGCTCGGCGTCGGCGTGGCTTCTGGGCTGGGCGTCGGCGTGGCTTCACCCCTCGGGCTGAGTGTCGGCCCGGCGTTGGGGTCAGCGTGGGCGTAGGCGCGGTGGTCCAAGGCATCTGGTTCAAGATGAGGCCGCGCTCTGTCAAGACCATGCCTTGATTTGCACGTCAATCGTCGACATGTCCGCCCCCATCAAGAAAGCCAGGTCGGTGTTCCTCTTCTTCGCGGTGACGTTGGTCCGGAGTAGGTCAAGTTTGATGGCGCTGTTCGTCATCAACGCCGACCACCGCGCCTCGGATTTCTGCTCCCTCTTGGCGGCGTGGTTCTTGGCATTGGCGATGCACTGCTCGATCGACGATAGCAGCCGCTCGGCAGCTGGTGTGGCGTCCTTCGCCGTCTTGGCTCTTTTGTTGTCGTCAGGGCGCCCATCCGCCGCCCCCAGGGCTGGCGCGTCCGGCTTGTACGTCTCCAAGGCCTTGGCAAGGGTGCGCCAGACATCCGTCCACTTCTCGCACTTCTCGATCCGGGTTAATATGTGGAGGAACATGAATTCTTGGTCGTTGTTGTCCTGGCGGTACATGGTGAACATCCAAACCATTTGCGCAGCCGAAGAATTAGTGTCGGTGACGTGCACGGCGAAAAGAAGCGAGAGCCGGCGGCTGTACATACCTGACCCTCGACGTTGGCGTCGCTTTCCGCGTGAGCCGCGATCTCCTCGACGAACCCAGGCCATTTGTTGCGGGCCGTCTGAATGATCGCCCAATAGTTCGACATGGCCTTTGCGCCGCACTGCATGTGGATGGTGGCGAAGTAGGGGTCGACAAGCTTTTCGCTGCAGTTTTATAACCGATTGTTGAAACAAGGCGTGTGATACGCCGTCGGAAGGCCGTGGAAGAGGCTCAACTTTCATAAATAGAACATTTTCTGAGATTCCTACGGTTTTAAATGAATTTTTAATATAGTGTTACAGCTGACGAGTGACAACGATCGTTTTTTCATGATTTTTTCCAAACCTCTTATTGAAATAATGCAAACGGTACACCATTGAAAAGACATCAATGAGGCGCAATGTAGAACACTCTCTCTAATTCCTTACAGTTTAAGAGCATTTTTTATTTAACAAAGTACGGACAATCTGTTTTTTGCGACATCAAAATCGACGAGTGCATCAGACATGAAACCAAAAATGTGCCTCTTAATATAAAACTATAGTTCAAGCATCTTAATATAAGTGTTCAAATGTTTTCCGAAAACGTGCCTCTAGTTTTTTTGGCGAAAAAGGGTCCAGATATGTTACAAAAGTTCACCTAAGTTTGAAAAGAAGAATAAACATGGTAGCTGAAAAAATAAAAGAAAAACCAAAAATGATAATTTTAAACATAAATAGAAAAGTAAAAATGAAAAATAAAGAACATAAAAGAATGGGCTGGCCCAGAGAGGGGCGAACCTGTGCGGAGCTCCCGACAGTTTGCCGCAATGTGCGCCGTATAGGGGTTTCCGTTCAGGGAGCTCCTATTCAGCGCTTTAGGCACCAGGGAAGCTCCCTGGCGCCCACATGCCGGAGCTGGTGGGCCGGTGCATTTATACGTCCGCCTTTGAGAAAAAAGGGGGGAAATCGAAAAACCAAAAAATGATAAATTTGAAAAATTCATCATTATGAAAAACAGTAAATCAAATTTGAGAAAATCACCGATTTTCATAAAAAATCATCTATTTTTCAAAAAAAATCATCGATATTGAAAAAAGTTCACGGAATTAAAAAAGGTTCTTCAAATTTAAATAAAAGTTCATCAATTTTAAAAAAGGTTCTTTGAAGTTTTAAAAAAGATCATCAAATTGGAAAAATCATGAAATTTGGAACAAGTTCATAGAATTTTTAAAAAATATATAGATTTGCCAAAAATAACAAATTTGGAACAGTTCATCAAGTTTAAAAAAATCATCGATTTGAAAAAAATGTTCACGTATTTACAAACAATTCATCGAGCCAGTAAGAACAAAAATAAAGAAACCGAAAATGAAAAAGAAGAAAAGAAAAAAGAAAAAGGAACAGGACCAATAAAAGAAGAAAGAAATGAAAGCTAACAGATCCTGGTGATGGGCGTGGTGGTTAACTATGCTACCTCGACGACAATAGTAACAGTGCCTGGAGCATCAAATAGGGTCTGCCTTCCGTTCCTTCTTTAGAAGGCTATTCGTTCCATCTAGGATATCCTGGTATTTCTTTATAGAAAAAACTTCATAAGCACCAAACGCTCAAGCCGAGACTTGTATCCTGGTGGGCTAACAGAGAACTTCCGCGCCTTATTTTATGGCTTAAGGCTTTTTCAAAAGAAATTCCCGACCGCCCTCGACACCCATGCCGCCATCACAAGAAAGAAACACGTGGATCTGAACAAGAAAAACAACAAGAACGCTCACGCGTGACGAGGAAAGCAGTCCAACACGTAGCACTGGTCGTTGAATAATGCTGCCACCTAGAACTATCTTGTGTTGTTGCTAGTCTATCTTCTTGTTGTAGGGCAATTGCCTTCTTCCAGATGCCACGACGCGTGCGTCACTGCGTACGTACTAGCTCATACTATATAGTGTATAAAATGACCAGAGTCCTCCGTTGTAATGCAAGCAACCAAGGCTTCGAGCGTGTGCTGTGCCTATACGTGAGCTTCAGTGCCGAGTGAGCCATAGTAGCCTAGCCTAGCTGACTCCCGCGATGAGCTGGTGGTGGGCGGGCGCGGTGGGCGCCGTCAAGAAGAGCCAGGAGGAGCGCACCGAGCTCTCCTTCCAGAGCGTCGCCCTCGTCATCGGATCCACCGGCATCGTCGGCACATCGCTCGTCGACATACTCCCGCGCGACGACACCCCCGGCGGGCCCTGGAAGGTGTACGCCGTCTCCCGTCGCCCGCTCCCTCCCTGGTCCCCGCAGCCCTCCCCCGCCGTCACGCATCTGCTCCTGGACCTGGCCGACCCTGTCGCCGTGGCGGAGGCCCTCAAGCCGCTCACCGACATCACCCATGTCTTCTACGCTGCGTGGTCCAGCCACCCGACGGAGGCTCAGAACCGGGAGGCCAACTCCGCCATGCTCCGGAACGTGCTCTCCGTCCTCGTCCCGGGCTGCCCCGCGCTCGCCCACGTCTGCCTCCAGACCGGCCGCAAGTGCTACATCGGCCCGTACGAGGCCATCGGCAAGATCCCCGTCCTAGACCCGCCCTACACCGAGGATATGCCCCGCCTCGATTACCCCAACTTCTACTACGACCAGGAGGACGTCCTCTTTGAGGAGGTCTCCCGCCGCGACGGCGCCGTCAGCTGGTCTGTGCACTGTCCCTCCGTGGTCTTTGGGTTCTCTCCCCGGAGCGCCATGAATGTCGTGGCCAGCCTATCCGTCTATGCCGCCATCTGCCGCAAGGAGGGCGCCATGCTGAGGTGGCCTGGGAGCAGGGTTGCATGGGAGCGCTTCAGCGACGCCTCCGACGCGGATCTTGTCGCCGAGCAGGAGATCTGGGCAGCCGTCGATCCGTTGGCAAGGAACGAGGCTTTCAATTGCAGCAATGGAGATTTATACAAGTGGAAGCAGCTCTGGCCGATGGTGGCTGACCGATTCAGGGTGGAGTGGGCGGGATACGAGGGAGAGGACAGCCGGTTCATGCTCGCCGACGCCATGGCCGGGAAGGAGGCGGTGTGGGCAGAGATCCTCCAGGAGAACGAGCTTGTCACGACTGAGCTCCAAGAGATTGCCAATTGGTGGTTCCTCGATGCCGTGTTCAATGTCAAGTGTGAGCATTTGGATAGCATGAACAAGAGCAAGGAGCATGGATTCCTTGGATTCCGTAACACGGCCAAGTCCTTCAACGCATGGATTGATAAGATGAAGGTTTTGAAGATTGTTCCATGATGCTGCCACATCCCATTTCCTTTCTTTGAAGTTAGTTTCGTTACATCATTTCTGTGTTTGGGTTTGGGAAGGTGGCATGATGTAAAATGTTATAGTGCAGAATAAAGTATGACGACAAAACAAATCTCCGCGTAAATGAATTATCCATGCTCATCATGTAAGGCACTAATACTCGTGTTTGGTATTGCTGGTCTGTTGCTTTTGACTTCAGAACTGAGATAGCTCCCAAAAGCCGGCACATCTGGTTGATTGTTCTAATTGATTGCTGATGTTGGCATGTTTGACAAATATCACCAGTTGGGTATCAAAATCCGATTTGGAATCGTGTTTTCTGTCTCCAATAATAGCCCCTAATATCCCATCCAGTTTTGCTAAAGCACATCTAAATGTGCCATAAGTATTGCACATCTAAGTTTTATGTCATTGATCTTACGTCGAGATTCGTGTGTGGATATTTCCTTTTTCTTTTCTTTTTCTCTTTGTGCTTGAATTCACTCACTTAGATGTGCAATAACTAGGGCATATCTAAATGTGCCCTAGACACACCCTATCTCATCCACTACTTTTTCACCACAAAAAGATTCCAACCGCGGCAACGGAGCCTCGTTCTTAATCTGTAGTCTCTTTTCTCATGACATCACATGTAGGCTCTTTCTCATGGCACCAAAAAGTAAGCCCTATGAAGAGGACTAGAGGTTGGGGCCCGCTACTGCGGGCCGCTTGAGAGAAAGATGTGCGTGTGTTTCTCCATCTTAAAGGGAAAAAGGAAACAAAACCTCACTTTCATCTCAAAACTGGGGGAAAAATATCACATCAGATGGACATCACA